AATTCACCAGAGACCAACTTGCTCTGATACCATATTAGTTTCGTCCGAAGGGTGGGAGAACAATAGAGAAGCATGAATTGGAGGGGTGTGTTCAACTTGAAGTTTGATGTCTTAAATCTGAAAATAAGAGGTATTAAAAAAACAAATTGAAGTCTGAAAAAATTGCTTTTAAGACATCATAGGTTGAAAGCAAACCATAAAACCAAAGCCTTAAATATGATTGGGCTGGTCCTTGTCATCTTAAATATTCAACGGATGCAATTTTAAATATACGAGTCTTCCGTTTTTGTTCATGGGGCTACACAACAAGGGGTAGTCTGCCCCCAAACTCATAACCCCTGATGACATGAACCAATCGTAAAATTATTATTATTAAGGGATTTTTAGATTGTACTCGCCCTCAGAATTCTGATTTTTAATTGCAAACCTACAATAATTCCAAATTATAAACAGCTCCACCTATAATACATATMCCTGCCTGTAAATTGACATCAATTCCTAGTTAACACCTATCCCACCTGTAGGGTGGAGCTAGAAATTTTTGGAGTAGACTGAACAATAAAAACCCCTATTATTTAAGATATCTAGGTTTAGGTGCTATTAGGTGTCAATTAGGATCAGAGAAGGGGAAACATTTCTCCATTGCAAGAAATATCATTTTTGGTGTTTCCTTTAAAAATTGATTTCAGATAACCTAAGACGTTTGAGTTAACACCTAAATGGTGCTGATGTGGCACATTTATTTTGATAAACAACAATGGTGTCTAACATATACTAAGTTATTTTTTGTTTAAGAATCTACATCATTTCAAGTTCCAACTGTCTATCTTAGGAAATCAATATGGGCGTGTTCCAACAGCACGGATCAAGTACAAAAGCCTCCTAACAAATAACCCAATATCTATTAATATCTTGAGGAGCCAATTTTATTATATCCTGTTAATGACAGGGACTGATAGCTAAATAATGCCTACTAACTTATAATGTGATTTACATAATTACATATTTGCATTTTTTATAACTACATTTGTATATACCCATTATTACTAAATAATCAATATAAAAATCAAATTAAAATACACCAAAAATTTCTATTCTTTTTAGTGATTTATCATTTTTATGGACTTGTATATATAAATATTAGAAAAGATAGAAAACTAAACGAGAAGCTGATGACTTTACTTTCCACCTTTCAATTCTACGTGAACTAAGCCTCCAAACCAGCTGTTATCCATATTTCCTACAAATTTAAATACTGGGGTAAAAGTGGCTATTCATTCATTAAATAAATAAAGAAATAACCCATTAGGCATTTATAGATGAATATTTGTTTGCAACGGTCAAAGACAATGACACATGATATACCAAGAAGAAGATAACAAGGACTACCCAACCAATCGGATTGTTTTGACAATCAAATAGACATAACATCACACAGTTCATGGTGAATTTATAGATCAATGGGATCATCTGTTTGTTTTTTGGAAAGTTACTTATTTGGGTAAATACATTCATTCATGTTCTTTTATTTTTTAGATAAATAAGAAAATGATTATTTTAGCTATAAAAAAAATTATTATTTAAAAGGGCAATTATCTTATTCAAGTGGTGACGAATTTTCTCCTGGGTGAGAAAGCTATTTATCCATCTAAGGAAAATAAAATTTTCATGAACCCCACATAAATCTTAAAAAAGAACATGAATATTTTGGTCAATAGGAACCAAAATCCCATCAACCAACTGTCCCCTCCTGAAAATCCAAAAGAAGAACGGGCCCTTATATAATGCATTCAAACAGTATTTTTGCTGGATATAAATATTTTATTTTATTTCCATTTTCTTATGTTCTTTTTCCCTGTATTTTCAATCAATAATTGCTCAATATTCAGCAGTTGAATGAGGGAAACCTACAAAACTATACTTTCATTAGGGATGAAGCATCAGGTGCTGAAAACTAAGGATATTCTTAACTATGCAAAGGTCTGTGTTGTGAAGAAAGAAAGATGGGTTGTCAAAGTATAGCCGTTTAACAAACAAGAAACAAGAAAAAAAAAATAAATTAAAGGAAAGCGTGTGGGGAGCACAAGTTTTCACATCACATGATTTTGATAGAAGACATATCTCTCCTAATTATAATATAATTAGCTGGTGTATGGACTTCATGTGATATTAACTATGGCCTGCCAAGAGAGGAATCCACAATAAACAACTCAAAGGCGTGTGGAAAACACGGACTTTGATGCTTACTGATTACCAAACTTACTGATAAGGTTGCTTTTTCAAAAGTCTTCTTGTTCTTTGTGCTCTCTGATGATCATGTGATGAGCTTTAGACTTCTATATACCCTAAATGCATGTGATTAGAAAACATTTTCAGATCAAAATGTTGGTCACCTATACGATGAATGGTCTGATTGAATATTTGTCCATATAGCTAAAGTCTAGAACAGTGGAAATTGTCGAGTAAATAAATGTGAAATCCTGACCAACAGAACTTCTTTCTATTAATTTTTTCCTTTTCTAAAAGAAATTGTAGATTCGTAGGGCGGTGTAAGATGCTTCTTGACTGGTTTCTTCCCTTACAGATTTGAATAATTAAATGAGAAGGAATATTTGAATAATTTAGTCATAACTGTCTGTTAGATAAGGAGATGGTAACATAAGTAGATTTTTTCTTTAAAATCTTCTAATAAGAAGCATAAAAATGTCTAAAATACTCATGTGGTTACTATTGAGGCTGATTTCTACAACAAAAGCAATACAAACTTTATGAATAAGAAAAAAAATGAGAGTTTAAAGTTATAATTTTACCTTTGAGCGATTGATATAAAGGATAAAATTGAAAAATAAATTACTTTAGGATAAGAGATTAGAAGAGCTTGGGGTGGTGATTGATATTAAAAGAAAATTTAATTAAAAATAAGCATTTTGGTCTGTATGGGTATTTTGGACATTTTCATATATCTTATTAGAGGATTCTTATGAAGGGGGTCTACTTGCATCTGTGTCAGAAAGTTCAGAGAAGGTGATTGCAACGAGGGGTGAGCATGGGCCAGTTCGACTTGGTTCCATAACAGAACCTGGTCAGTTCCAGGTTTTTGGAACAGGAACCTACCCTATGAAGGTCGTTTTCAGGGTCAGTTCTAGCCTTAGTGGTTTTGGGGCTGATTCCAGGGTCTACATGTGGAACTTATTCTTTCTTTACTCTTCCCCCTTGAAAAAAAAAATAAAACATGTCCTTTAAAAACTTGATTTTCAATAATGATAATATATAGTTTAAAACTTATATTATCTTTAATGATTAAATTGAGTAATTTAATGTGTAGATTATCATAATTTATTAATATATGGTTCAAAATGTGTCATTATAATTTAAATTTTGTAAACATTACCTTTTACATTATTTATCATACACATTCAAATATTAAAATGAAAAAAATGATCAAATCACTTAAGTAACTCAATGGTAAAATGAGACTACAACTTTTTTAACCATGACTGCTTGGGTTCAAATTTTCACATCCGTAAGAATATTTTGGGGTTTATTTTAAGGAAAATTTGATTCCAAGTTCTAACGCTTCTTCTACCAAAGCCAATTCGTTGGATTGGTTCAAGTAGGATAAACCCCAAAAATCTCGAATCAATCTAAAGGGTCGGTTCCAAGAATTTGGAATCGGACCCTACCTTGTAATAAATTGGATAGGATCAGTTCAAGGTGAATTTGAGGTCAATTCCATTCGATTCCAAGTAGAACCCACCCATTTGCTCACCCCTAATTGCAATTACCAAACTTTAGCTGAGGTTTTAGCAACAGTCAAAACCTTCGGGAGGGAATTTCAGCATTTTCTTTGGGTGCATGCTTGGTTACCTTCTGTGCTAGTGCTACTTCTACTATTAGTAGTGATTTGAAGAGGGCTTAATTTTGGTTTACCGTTTCTTCCATTAAGAGTAAGACACAAATAGGAAATTTCTCTTTAAACCTAGGCCTCTTCAGTGTTTCATTTTAGATAACAAAAATTAACTTATTTCATCAACATCAGTCAAACTCCATTGTCATCCAAAAATCTTTCCACATAAGCACCTTAATAAACACAACTTTGTCAAAGGCACTAAAACAAATGACTTAATTAAACAATCCCATAATTGTAAAATGAATGCTGCCCGGCCCGACTAAGGCAAAGCTATTGGGACATTATAGGCCGGTGAACTGGACACGCCTAGGGATAAACATTAATTCCCAGTTTGCCTTGTAATAAGTTCAAAGATGATCCAGTTCTTGACCAGACACAAATGCAATCAGTTCAGACAATTGCACAAACCCAACTGCCCGGCCGGATCGGATTGTTGGCAATTTGGGCTGACACTCGAAATGAAATTTTTCTCAGCTACCCTGACATCTCATTAATAGTACTGCTGGTTGGCTTCTAGGATTTTAGAATAGAAAAATAGAAATTAACACCGTCCATTCTCCAATTGATAACCCATATGTATATCCTGAACAAGTACATTGAAAGAAAAAGCTATTAAATAAGGTGAGCATCTCATCAAAATGTCAAACGTTTTGGTTGTGAGAAATGTCTAGGATTAAAAAATCAATATACCCAATAGCTAATACAGATTTACTTAACTTTTTTAATTATTAATCAATGGTGATGGAACCCTTGACCATGTGGCCGTCACTGCCCCAAGTTTTTCTTGGAAACCTTGTTTCTTTTACCTAATTTTTATTTGGACAATTCTTGGGTGTAGACTGTAGAGTAGGATTATCTTCTCATCAGTCGTCCTCTATCACCATACATACCTGAACAAGTGCCCCATGCAGCACCGTCGGATGACCGCTCAAAATGGTCCCACTTCAACATTTCCATGGCTCAAGTGGGTTCTGATGATGTGACACGTGTCCAAATATGCTGTGACAATATCATATGGGTCCCACACCCTATAGGATTAAAATGCATATATACCCCACAACCAAGTCTTTATATATTGACAACACGCCCACCAGTTTCACAACAATCCATTGTTTGGATCTGCCAAGCAAGCCATTGTCCAAACTCCGAAGTCCAACCCAGAGAGAGAGAGATGGAGAAGAAGACCTCATTGGCCGCCACGTTCTTCATTTGCTTCCTTGGCTTTTCTGCCTTTGTGAATTCACAATCAGATTCTTGCACTTCAAAACTCACCCTCACTGGCATTCCATTTGCCACCACCTCTCTCACTTGTCAATCTGTCTGGACTTCTCAGGATTTCATCCTTAGAGTAAGTTTAACTTCTTACTGGTTTTTCATACATTGATTGGTAGCTGGCTAGGCGCTAGCTAGAATGTTACTAACTTTTTGTTTTGGGTGGATTTTTTTTTCAGTATCAACAGAGTGGATCAGTCTGGAACTTAATCCTCTCAACGCCGAACACAAATGCTTATGTCGCAATCGGCTTCTCGCCAGACGGGCGGATGGTTGGGTCCAGTTCGATCGTCGGGTGGGTTCCCTCCGGCGGCAAGGGAGTGATTAAGCAGTACTATCTAGGAGGGTTGGACTCTCAGTCCTGCCAACCAGATAAAGGGAGCCTCAAAGTCTCGAACATGACCATTGTATCTCAGTCATCGCGCCTGTACCTCGCCTTCCAGTTGAACACCAATCAACCACCTCAGTCTAACCTGATTTACGCTGTTGGGCCGAAGAGCAGCTTGCCGTCTTCACCGGACTATTTGATGGCGCAGCACCAGTCAAAAACCTCTACAACGTTGAATTTTGCCACAGGTGAGTGTCTTAAGCCTGTATCAATATATATCTTGGTATAGAAAGACACATCATTCCGTCACCGAACTTTAACAGCTATGTTTGTTTACTCCTTTATTCTTGGTTTGGGTTGATCATGGACAGGTCAGAGTACGTCCAAAGGCAATGGCTCAGATAGTGAAGACAATGATGATTCAGAAAGCTCGGAGGGTTCAGAGAGATCGGATGGTAGTTCCAAGAGTAGTACATCACTCAGCAGTAGTTCTGGTCTCAGGAATACTTATGAGGTTGTGCAGATTTTGGGATTGGGCATTCTTATGTTCATTAATGGTTTCTTATTCACGAGCCCATGAGCAATTGGTTACTTTTCTAGTGATGAATATGTACTGATCCTCCTCGGTTAGATTAGGTTTTGCTCTCAGGAATGTTTATGGGGTAGTTGTGGATATTTTGATATTGGGCATTCTTATGTTCATTGGTATTTTAGCCATTATTATTGCCTTACTATTATTATTATTATTATTATTTTATTATTATTATTATTTTTTTTTGGGGGGGGGTGTTGCTTCATGCCATTTTTATTAGTTTTGTAGTGGTGAATAAATTGATCCCTGATTCCCTGGTTAATTAGATTGATTATTTGATTTAGTTAATCCTTTCTCTTCTTATTATTAAAGAAATGGCATATACACATACAATCCCCAACAACTTAAATTTGAATTCGGAAATGAAATTTAATTGATTAAAACAGTTGGACTGGAACCGCCCATGCAAGAAATTGATGGTATAGACTAAGATTGCAAAGCAAGGATTCAATTTCTTCTCAAAGAGATGATATTAAACCGAGAATTGTTGCCATGTATGAGATTCCAATCTAACAACCATTAACTCAACGTGGGAAATTAACTTTGATGTGATTATCAGGGAGATGACTTCACAACCCTTTCAAAATGATGGGAAGTTTCTAATCAAACTAATACATTTGGGGAAGGTCTTTAAATCATATATACATGGGCTGACTCCAATTACGCATAATGATGACCAAATTAACAAGCCCAATTATGGGGACTTTTTGCAAGTCTTTTTTGAAATATCTTTTGGAAGTTCTACCAGTTAAAAGACGATATGATTTTTTGCATCAAGAATTTAACAATTTGAAGATTGTTTGGTTAAGGCGTGTTTGTCTATGTGAAAATGAGTTGAAGAAAAGGCAAAAAGTTCCATTTGAAGTTACCCGAAAATAGTCCAAAATGGGCTTCTCACATCTTTTCAGGGTTGTGGCTTTCGACGGTTAGATCTTTTCTCAACCAAACGGGAAAATACCAAAATACGAGTTGTCGAGTTTCTAAAATTCCAATAGCCCACACGAAAAGACTCACCAAATAAGGCCTATATTATACGTCCGATCTTGTCTTGTCTTGTCTTGTCTTGTTAGGTCCAGAGATGAACCTGACCTACTATACGACGGTTCCAATGAATTGGGATCTACTCTTCATAGAGCACGCCTCACACCGACCTCCCAAGCTACTATTAATTTATTTAATCGCTTAATATAAAATAATTTATATAGAAATTATTTTTTAAATTATTTATTATTGAAGATAATTTTATAATGACAAATATATTTATTTTATATTTATTAGCATTTACACATTGGTGTTTTATTTTATCCATTATTATTTTATATTATTATTCCAAATTATTTTTGGCTTAAATTATGGTTCTTTTTCATTCATGATTGTACGGGCGCAAATGGATCGGATCATGATCCGACCCAAAATCTGATCATATTTTTGTCATATTTGGATAACCATCCATCATATTTTTGGATTGGATCGGATCTAATTTGGATCACCCCCTATCCGATCCAACTTGATCAATTGTGTAAAATTATTTCACAAGTTATACATGAGATGTATAGAATCAATAGGTGTGGTGTGGATCAGTCCACATTACACATGCAAAACACCCCTGTAGGTGTAGACACCTTTTGTCTACATAATTTGGTCAACAGTTCAGAGCAACTTTAAACAATAGTGTGGTGTGGATTGGTCATTGCTATAGTGTGGTGTGGACCAATCCACACCCACCAATTTCTCATCCACATTATAGAATAGCCCCTAAGTAGTTTGAGCGTATGGCTTCTCAACTACCAAGGCATATCAAGATGCTTGTATTTGATGATTAAGCAAGTTTGCCAACTCCTAGATACTTTTGATTTCTTAATGAATTTCTGTATGGGTGGGTTTGAAAGTGAGCTTAACAAGTTTTCTGAAAGTTTATGTAAGTTGGGGCAAGGCAAGCTAAGTCCTCCCATGTCTTTGCTTTATATTTTGTTTATATTTTAATAAAACATTAAGCTGTGCACCCCTAACTTAACATTTGCTTTTACATCTACAAGATACAAGGAAGGCCAGTGTAGTTTGAGCTCTATTAGTGACAACACTAACTTAACATTTGCTTTTACATTAACTGCTATTATTGTTCACATTTATTGCTTATTTACATTTCCAATAACATTTACATTTCTACCGTTAGTTTTGTTGTTTTGGTAAGTAGTCCATATCTCATCTATCCTGTATCTTGTGAAACAAGTCCTTTCTATGCTACTTGTTAGTAGGGATGGCAATTTTTATCCTATTTGCTGGGTACCTGCCCCTACCATCCCCGATGGGGCGGGTTTTTTTGCTTAAAGAATGGGTTTGGGGGTGGGGACTTATTTTGGGATTCTACAACTTGTATGGATACGGGTAAGGTGCGGTATTAGGCTAAACCCAACCCTCTCCAACCCGCATATTGTTGGAAAGCATATAAACTTTATGTACTAGGTCTTGAATTTAATAATATTTTAAATTTTATATGAAGGATAGTTAATAGTTTATGTGTTTTTATCTGCCTTAATCAAATAATTGGATTTTTTGTTGTTTATTTGTGTTATTTTTCTTATTTATTATTTATGTATGACAAGAAATAAAAGAAAATTAGATGTGGATTCTAAGCCCAACCCACCCCTACCCTTAAATGTGGGGAGGGTTTTGCATTTTCATGTATAGATAGGGTTTGGATTCTTAAATTCTAATCCGCTACGAATTTTGGGGCGGATACGGGTTGAGAGGTTTGCCATTGCCATTTATATTTTAGTGCTAAGGCACACACCGTGAGGTCCAACTGCCATTTATATTTTAGTGCATATTTACTTTTAGCTACACATTACTTTCTATGGTTATTTTTATTTACTATTCTTATTGTTTATGAATTGTAGAATCACTAATCCAGATAGCAAGCTATAGTTCTTTAACCACGTAATTCACTGTTCAATTGCTTTCCTCTTGTTTGTAGTTTTTATCATTTGATTGTGTGCAATTTGGAAGCTCCTAGCTAGAAGAAGACCTGGACCTTAGTCGCATAGCGAGTTGGACCAAGTTGCAAGACAGATGATCAGAAAACCTGGGGTGGCTAACCCGGCGAGGTCGCTCCGATGCTTAAGTTAGTATTGAGTTGTGCGAGCTGAAAGCTAGTAAGCTAGTAGGCTAGTGAGCAAGTAATTGCGCATACCTGAGCCTTGGGGATTGATGCCCTTATATAGTTGGGCTGCCGTGGGTCTCACGAAACGGCTTCGGGATCCTTGGCTTGTGTAGTAGGGATCCGTTCCATTTTAGGAGGAGAGTAACGTATCAGTTAATGAGGTTTATCGTTTCTCTCCGATTCGGGCGGTGAGAGGATAAGGCCTACAGTTACGCGGCATGATCCAGGGTGGTTCGGAGTCCGTTGAGAAGCTTCTAGAATCAATTATGTGGCACTTCGGTACGCGGGTACTGAAGTGATTTTGGTTCCAAGGTGACCGAGCACCCGAGCTCCTTGATCTTTTGACATGGCGCTTTGCGTTGAGTTGTCATCTTGCTGGCAGGTCGCGTCCATGTGTCCTTCACTTACTAGGTTGGGCCAAATCACCCCTCATCAATTGCCCCCCACACCCTGTGCTGGGGGTCCTGACCTGGTGCGGGGAGTTCATGACGAGCTCAGGTGGATTTGGCACGAAGGGCAGCTCTTTGATCGGACCTGTATGGCCAATTGGCTCGACGAGGAAATGACCTAGATTGCGTACCGGGTACGCGTGGATGTCATGCCATTTATAAATTCCACGAACGTCAAAACGTGCGATCAACCAGTTTCAACTTCGGGTGGCATGTAGCCAGTTTTCATGGGAGCCGCTGGATCGTGCAGATCTCGACCGTTGAACCTCGGTCGTGGTGGCTATAAATAGGGGCCGAAGGGACCCATTTTTCTCGCCGTAAATTGCGTGATTGAGTTTGTTGAGGTCGCATTCTTGGTGAGTTCGTCTTTCTGCTTTTGTTGTTGTCTTTTTTCCTTCTAGTCCGGTATGTCTAGCCTTAGTATAGATAGCCTTCTTGACAGGAGCGATGAGTCCGTTGGGGCCGAGGTGGGCACCTCGGTCTGTGTTGAAGAGTTCGGTCTTGCCGGGGCAAATGCTTTGGTTGAGGGTCTGGACTTCACTTCAGATAGGGCAGACGCGTCAGGTCAAAATCGTGAGGTCTCCGAACAGGGGGTGTCCACCTCGCATCCCAGCCGGAAGCCAGATCGCTTCGGCCCTTCCACAATGACTACTGAAAGGCTGCAGTCCTTAGCTTTCCACTACCGGTTCCCCGATTACCACGTATACAACATCCCCTTATGTCAATACCCCTAGGATCACGAGCCAGACGAGATCGCTGTTTATGAGGAACAGCTCGTAGCAGGACTCTGTTTCCCACTTCACCCTTTCATTGTAGATGTCCTTTAGTTTTTTAATATCACTATAGACTAGCTCCACCCGAACTCCATTCGGTCCATCATTAGTATCATCTCTCTATTCGATGAGTACAATAAGTCCTTGACTCTAGAAGTGTTTAGCTCGCTGTGTGCCATAAAAAGAACTTGGCATACATCTTTAAGGATGAGAAGCACAACTATTACATTTCTCCCTGACCTGGGTATAAAGTCTTGCACAACTTCCCAAATAAAGTGTCGGCCTGGAAAAGGTGATACTTCGTAGTTTCCGTAGCTGGGGTTGGCCGTTCTCGACGAAGTGGAGGACAACCATTACTGACCCCGGAGTCCAGCTGAATAGTGAGACTTCGGCGATGATTCGATCTTGGGTCGATCTTAACTTGCAGTTGAAGGATTTTTTGCCGAAGAGAAGCTTGTGAAAGTGGGGTTGAGTCCTCCGAGTAGGTTGTCACATCGGTAGATACAAATATTTTATTCTTTGTAGTTTGTCTTTAGATATGTGGCTAAGTTGTTCGTTACTTGTTGTAGGAATCATGGCTGACATCCTTGCTGCCAAACTCTTCGATAGCATGAAGAGGGGGAAGAAGAAGGTCTCCAAGAAGTCTCGTCCCCAGGAGGTCGCCACCACGTCTGATGTCGACACCACCACCGTCGAACTCCCTCTAGTTGCCAAGCCCCCACAACCTCCTATCATTGACTTGGTCGAGGAAGACCAAGGTAGGGCTTCTCCGCCTCACTTGCCTGAGGAGACTCCGGCGTCCAAGCCCCAGTCTACTAAGGTCGGGGACAATTGCCCTCGCCTGCGGAGGAGCATAATGAACGCGAAGCATGGTCTCCTCAAGAGCAAGGATGCGGTCTTCACCAAGGAGGTCGCGCAATGGGCCGAGCTACCAGTGGATCAGCTCGAGGTGAAAGCGGCCCATCACTGCATGGTGGTACGCATCTGATCCTTAGCCGGTGCCTCCAGTGATTGCTCCTTAGTACTTAACTTTGTTTTCTTTTCTTGATAGGTGAACTCTGCCATTCATTCTTTGGTTCACCAGTCCAAGGTGCACCTGAAGCGGGCTTAGATGGCCGAAGAGCGGGCTCTAGAGGCTAAGGAGTCTTCCCAAAGTGCTAAGCGCGAATTGAACTTAGCTCGCGATAAAATCAACAAGCTGCAGAAGGATGCACGAGCTCAGAAGGAGCTGCTTAGTCTGCTGATGAAGGAGAAGAAGGAGCTCGAGAAGGATACTCTCAAGAGGGAAAATGAGAACCTCGAAGTACTTGTGAAGGAGCACACTGAGATCTTTGATGAAGCGCTGAAGGAGGCCAAGGTCAAGGCTGTCGAGGAATACAAGTCTTTGGAGGAGCACCGCGAATTGTTGATCGAGACTGGCACAATGGCTTACCGCAAGGGCTTCAAACTTAGTAGGTGGCTAACTCGGCGTGAATTCCCCAAACTTGACTTCAGTGCTATCACCACGTCCAGGTTCACCGAGGAGATGGTCGCAGAGGCTGCCAAGGACCCGAACTCCGATGAGGAGAATGACGACGACCTTCTCGGTGATGAGACAACGGAGGAGGGAGATGGAGACGATGCTGCTGAGGATCACATGGAGACTAACCTACCTATTGGTGCTATTGTTGGGGACGAGGAGCCCCACGTCGATTGATACCTATTTGCCTCTTTTCTTGGACCCCCGTACATACTTGATCTCCTAAGCCTCCGAGCTCGATTGAGTAGTTGCAGTCTCTTTTTTTTTCTTTTTTTTTTTGGTCATGTATTTCGAATTTTCTCTTTATTAATGCAATGCAATAGTTTCAAAACTCCTTGTTTTGCAAAATTCACCATAGGAAAATCTGGCTTTAGCAACGGACAAAATGTTGCAAAAAGACACCAAAAACCGTTGCTAATGGCTATAGCAACAGTTTAGCCACGGTTTTTTCTTGGTGGTGGATACTGGCGTGGCTAAAACCTATAGCCACGGATTTTGTACACTGGTTAAAAATATACGTATAGCTACGGTTTTAATCGTTGCTAATAAAAAAAATTATTGCAACGGATTTATATTGTACCGTTGCTACAAATATCAATGGCAACAATTTTTGCTGTGGCTACAAATATCTTTAGCAACAACCGTAGCTTAAAGTATTAACAATTCATTTAAATTACCACGGTTTTTTTACATCAATGGCTGCTATAAAAATCTTATAGCAACGGTTAGTGTAAAAAACCGATACCATAGAATAATCGTTAAAAAATACAACCATTGCCAAGACTACAACTGTATGGAACTTTTAGCAATGGGTTCATCGAACCGTTGCTAAAAGTGAGTTCCCATTTAAATTTTAAATGAATGCCATTACAAAAAAAAAAAATATTAGTTTCACCTATTCCTATATGATAAAAGGAGTTTTTACAAATAAAACTTATACACATTTACACAAAATGTCCATAGTAGTCTTTGTTCACTATACTCATTTAATAATTTTTTTTTCATAAAAAAAAAGAAAATTGACAAAATTATCCTCATCGCATCTGAACAATTGCTTATATGCACGTGCATCATACTCAAGACCTTCGCTTTGGATCATAAACTTTGGTCTGTCAAGTTCAACAAAAATGAATACATAAGGATCGATGTCAATAATTAAGTATATAAATTAATGTAAGTTTTATATGCATTATACACTTACCATTGATTTAACCCATGCAATGTGAGATCCAAGTGCATCTCCAAGAACTACCATATTAACACATTTCTTTAATAAAACTAAGTCATTAATCATTATTGATTTTAAGGATATCTCATACCATTTATGACCAAGTGCTTTATCACCCACCACCTTTTTAGGATCTTTACTAACAAGTATATCTCTAGCCACCTCTTTTTTATCATATCCTGGGTAAAGGAGGTTCACATGTTTTAATGCATGCACATTAAATCATTTTAGGATTATAATCATATTTTTAAAAGAAATAACATTTATTATATCATACTAAGAATATACTACAAAAAAAATATTTCTAGCGGCAGTTTTTGAATCGGCTATTTGGCGACCACCGCTAGAAACATTGATCTTTAGTGGCAGTCAATTAAAACTACCACTAAAGACTAAGCAATTGCTGCTACACAAGTGACGTGGGCTGAGGAGGTTTTCCACTTTTCCTCCACGCCTCTTCCTCTTCCCGCCCTCTCCGTCTCTCTCCTCTCCCAATCGACTCTCTCTTAGTCATCTCTCTCTCTATTTTTGTATTCAATTTGAGCCTATTGTGATGATTAATATTAAATTCTTCACACTAGAAGTGACTTTGCATTTAGACAATCAGGTCTCCTCTCCTCTCCTAATCTCTCTCTCTATCCCAATAGTCTAGATGTAGTAGCGGTTCAAATGGGACAATAATGAGAACAAGGTCTTTCCCCTTGAATTGGGCACCTTTGAAACTTTCACAATTAGTTCACAATCCTGTAAGCAAATAAAAATCTCACTAAGAATGCAGTTTTGAAATGAGAGCATCTAACCAAAGCCTATATTGGTTGGCAGAAATTTGTCAATACGTCTCAAGAATTATTAGTAACATGAACGAACATAGGCGATCAGGACACCTAGAAATCTAAGCAATATTCAACAAAAAACAAGATCCACGCATACAGAATCCTCTAATCAGAACTGTCATGCAACCAAGCTGCAAAATCCCACATACAGATTGGATAATAGAAAAGAGGGCCTTGGAGTATGAAGATGTACATAAGTTCAGCTCAGAATTTAAAAAGAAAAAAAAAAAAAAAAAAAAAAAAACATCAGCTAGATAGCTTGTCTTTCACAGATAAAAAGAAAAGGAAATAGAGGTAAGGAATCAATCTTACAGCTGGGCTCCAATTTATGTGTTCTATAGACGGAATTCTAACAAGCTGAAAAGCACAAACGTGTTTACCAACAATGGTTCAAACTATGGAGTATAAACAAAAAGCAACCAGAAATTTAAGAAGGAAAACTAGATAACTTAGAGAAGAATTAAAGAAGAGAAAGAGCTCTTGTATCAATTATACCCGCTGAATCAACAGTGGAACATTTGAAGAAATGGATGAAAAAGATGAATTTTTTGGTTCGTTTAACACTGGTACAATCAACAACAACCGGTAGAAAGAAGAAACTCAATGACTTATATAGATTTGAAATTAGCAATAGAGGCACAGCAAAGTAGCATCTAGTCAACAGGTAAAATACCTTATATAGAAAACAAACACTGGTACAAGATGTAAAGGCACTTCTAGCCATAATACAAACACCAAAATTATTTTCTGAAACATTAGATCCCTTGATTGAAAACCAAGATGTAAAGGAACTGCTAGCAGTTAAAACTGAAAACCAAAACCCGGTGGCAAGACCTATTTGGACCCAACAACCAATACCTGAGATATGTAGAAGAAACTTATGCAACATAGGAATGAAGCTGGCTTGATTAGCTCAACTTCTGATTAGTTGAACAGACAGAGCAAAGGAACTCATAGACTTATGAGTGTTGAGTCTGCTAAGTGCTGACTGCTGATGTTTTGGGTACACCTGTGGTGAAAAAGACTACTAAACATAGTAGTCCTATCATTCATAATCCTAAAAAAAAAAAAAAACAACTAAAAAATGATAATTCACAAATAGGTCAGGAGGATAGGCTATGTTGATCCATAAGATGTATAAAGCGAAATGCAAAGGGTTGAAAATTTTGGGTTATTAGCTTTTAGTGCTGCCTTGCAGATTGAAATTAACATCTGGTATAAGACAACATGCTCATTTTTTGTAGGGACTTCTGTAGAACAAGTTAGACTCAGCAACTGCAGCATAACATATGCAATTTTCAAATATGACTATTGGAATGCAAGGGTGGTAAATATTTGAGGAGAGTCTAACTTGGGTCATCAACTAAGACCATTGATACATGGGTCTAGAAAAAGCTGATTTGTGGAGAGTAAAATAGAATACATATGCTGGATCCGGACCTTTTTTCTTAGGTGTATATGGGTTAAATTGTACATGGGCACATATGCTGAAACTGCATTTGAAAAATACAAAAGCTTTACTAATTTTAGAAAATCCAAAATTAATATCAATGCTTTGCTTGAATTGTCATAAAACTCCTTAAGATTTTGTAATTGGTTTTTATTAAGCTTAGTTTAAAATTTAAGGATGTTTAATTATTATCCGTTTAAGTGATCCTAGATGGATTTATATTAAACCTTTTTCTTCCATTCTGTAATGTCATTTCTTACACTTTTGTTTCAGTAATCTGAGGTACTTCACTTTTTCTTGATCTTAATCATTGTCATTTAAATAATGGTATAGGCTACATGAACATCTAATCGTCTTTCTGTTATTTAACACATTTTTCTGACCTGTTTGCAAATGCAGCAATTGTATGATGAAGCAATCCCTGCTTTCAATGTCATGGGGAAGAAATCTTTCTTTTTGGGGCAAGTTGGAAATGGAGCAAAAACGAAACTAGTTGTAAACATGATAATGGGCAGGTAAACTGGAATTCTCCCCACACAATAGAACTTTGAAATGGAAATACAATTTTAGTTTAACGAACAAAAGCCTATAGATGGACAGTTAAATGAAAGGTGAATATAGTGCCATGCCATTATCAAAAAAAGAAAAAAAAAAGAAAACCATGTTTTTCCCAAGGAACTCTTGTGAGGTCACAAGAAGATGGGCAGCAACAACAAGAGAATCACCTATGCTTTTCTTTTCTTTTTTATTTTTTTTATTGGTAACAATCATAATTTATTTATTTTGAGAAAAGAACCGTGTACAAGAATACTAGAGTAGGAGCTTTTCCAAGCCACCCAAACAAGTCCGAGGCTGACAGGTGACAGCTTGTACCTAGCCCTATTTCTTTAACATTCTACATTTTTATAGAGGGATGCAGTATAAAAGACTCTTTACACTCCTTGTCTAGCTAATGTGGTGGCTAGACTTTGTGCTGATCTTCATACCCAAGTAAACTTGATCCCTATCATTTCTGCCTTTCTTCTCACTTTTTAATAAATTTTGGTACTGTCAAGGTCCTAAACTGTTGTTCTAAACCAACTCATCGCTACTTTGGAATCTCTTTCCACCACAACATTCCTACGATTAATAGAGTTCCCTGGTCTTAATCCTTGGAGAAATGCTAATACTTCTGCTCTTATGAAATCCCAATGTACAATTGACCTTGAGAATAAAGTCATTAGATGTCCTTAGTAGATTCTAAATATCCCCTTGATGTAGGACAGATAGGGGGTCCTACAACTTTCAGATTTGGTGGTGGGCTTTGTGAGGTAGAGAAGGTGATTTGGGTGATTAATGATGAAGAATAGAGATAGAGAAGCAAGTAAATAGCTTGCTGTCCACCAAAGAATGAGCAATATATTAGAAAGAACCAAAGAATGAGAATAATTCTTGCTGCTATTTTGATAATAATGAGAAATTATCATTAAAAAAAAAGAAAGTGTTACATAATACAAGAAACAGAAAAAAAAAAACTATAATTTGATAACCTACAGAAACCAAAATTCACAGAAAACATCCCAACATTTAACCCCCAAATAATTCATCAAACTGCCCTAAAGATAATCTCTTAGACTATCTTTTAATTCATAATGAGATAGAGACCACTCGGCAATCAGGAAGCACGTATCAGCAATCAACTTTCCTTGATTTGGTACATTCATGCTAGTTGCTTTAAGCATTCATTATGATACATGATTGGTTGATGGTTGCTTAACAACCTCTAAGAGTGTCCTATTCATTTGGATTTCTCTCTATGTATATTTCTGTAGAGAACACTGATGTGGGCCCCACAGCAGTGGTCCCCACTGTGTTCGTAGGACAGCATGTGTAGTTATTTGTTTCAGTTATAGTAGTGTCAGTTTGGGTCAGTTTGTTAATTCAGTTGTTATTTATTTCAG